CCCCCCCCCCCAGCTACGCCACTGATAGAGGCTATTAAAAAAGAGAACCTGTCATTCGCGAGCCCTTGTTGCAAAAAGCGGCACAGTTGAAGAAAACAGAAAAGGAAGCGTCTCCGTTTTTATCAAATGTGCCGCTTCCGATTCGTGCCACGATGCGCGCGCGGCTGTTGAATTCTTAATGTGCGCAAAGTTAAGCCAAAAACTATATTAACTGAGCGTGGGTCCATCGCAAGAGTCATAATTACCAGCAACTTTCAACTCTGATGATAAAATATAATGGGAGGGAAAAAAACAGATGGCGCATGTTTGATACTTGGCAACAGCTGTAGTGAAATGATAGAACTTAATATCGATGCAAAGGTATTTTAAGGCACTGTTGTAAAAGTCTTTAAGCTTGTTACGTTACACACAATTTTTTTTTTTTTTAAATACCGATACCTGTTTAAAATCAGGATCGGAAGCTTTTCGGAGCAGTGCGACATCTATGTTCATTTAGTTCAAGCCTCAAACAGGATTAGCCTTAAATATACGGATTCTCAAATATATCGATCGTAGCGATGTTTCAAAGGTTCCATTTATTTGTAATCGATTAATGGCAACAGTTACTGTTCTTTTTTTATTTTTATAAAGTTATTACAATTAAAATCTATTTTAGTTTTATTGTTGCACACATTTTTCTCCGGATCGGAGGGGGGGCACTCTTGACGAGCTCCGGTTTGGGAGGGGGGTGGGTATTCCACTCACTTCATTGGCTCCATATACAGGTCCGCATGGACTACAAGCTGTCTGATCTCTGTAAAACATTTTCTCAGATTCCTGCCCTTCCTATCTAACCGAACTTCTTTCTGTCTGTTTACCCCTTCGACAGCTTCGCTCCTCTGCAGACATGCGTATTCTGTCCGTTCCAAACACACGCACTAAAACATATGGTGAACGATCGTTCTCTTTCTGCGCCCCCAAACAATGGAATTCTTTGTCACTACACCTCCGCAATATACCAACCTCCCAGGCCTTCAAATCTGCACTCAAAACACACCTCTTTAAACTACACTACCCTGACTGATTCCCCTCCTCCGACCGATAAATGCTCTTGCTGGCTGCCGCCCATGGTTTGCTTTGTAAAAGTTTTTTTTTGGGGGTGGGGGGTGGGGGGGATGAATATACATTTTTTTTCACATGCTGTTCTTTATTTAATCGATGTATTTTATTTGAATGTCGTGATCATGTGTCTTTTGATAATAGTTTTATGTATGTCGTGGTGAGCCCAGCCCTAGGCTGGGGTACCGCGCTATATAAGATCACTAATAATGATAATAATAAATCCCGTCCCCGGAGAGATGCCTGATAGAAACACTGTATCTAAATCTCATATATTGTAGCAATCCTATCTCTAACCTCGGAGAGCAACTGATTACTAAAAATACAACATACTTTAGAGACCCCAAAGATCGAGAGCGTCTAATTCCAGGCCGTACAGATGCAACGGGTAACACTTGAATTTCTTCCGATTTCGGCGAACCTTTTTACTTGGATCAGTACAGCCTCGTGGGTTTTCAATTTCTTCGGAATGAAGAGCTATGCCGTCAGTCCCTTCTATCGAGTTGTCAACTTTCCCCTGTAGCCCATCAGATGGGCTGATGTTGTTGGCATGAGGTAAAAAATTGTTATTCGGATCTACTAACATTTTCCTCTCATTCTTATGATTGGATAACATCCGGTCTATTACCTCATAAGTAAGTTTTTTCCTGTTAGGAGAAAAATAATAACAATAATTAAATTTGTTATTTTTAACTTTTTTTTTTTTTGCATGTAAATTTTATTCAATTTCATAACTGAAATATATTGATACTGTTAACTTCTAACCAAAAATTCCTAGTACTACTTACCTAAAGTTCCTAGTACTACTTACCTAAAGTTGCTAGTACTACTTACCTAAAGTTCCTAGTACTACTTACCTAAAGTTCCTAGTACTACTTACCTTAAGTTCCTAGTACTACTTACCTAAAGTTGCTAGTACTACTTACCTAAAGTTCCTAGTACTACTTAACCTAAAGTTCTTAGTACTACTTACCTAAAGTTCCTAGTACTACTTACCTCGGTAAAATGTTCCACAAGCGGAAAACACGGGGTTCACTTTGTTTGTTTCTTACATGTCTTTTCTGTTTACTTTTTGTCTGTTTCTCATCATCTTTTCTTCTCTCTTTCTGCCGAGTGACGACATATTTATCTTTCCTTTTACGGAAATATTTTTTTACAGCCATAGAAATAGTTCTTTGAAGAGAATTTGACTTATAGTCTTCTTCTTTGACCCATAAACTGCCGGAATTCAAATTTTCAAGGTCATTTGATTCTTTTTTAGCTGCTTCTAGAGAACAGTCATGGGTTTTTTTATGTTTTAATTCTGCCATTTCTTTAAGACATTTCGTACAGTGCCTCTGAGCTTTGTCTTTTAGAAAGGTGAAAGTTGTCGATGCCTGTGCTTCTTCGGCTAACATCCAGGCTGTCTTGCCGTCATTGTCCTTATCTTGTATATTTGCTCCCTTTTCAATGAGCACGCTACATGTCTCATGGCGCCTATAAACGCTGGCCAGCATCAGCGCTGTCTTTCCGTTTCTCATTCTGTCATTTACGTTAGCTCCATGGTTGATAAGCAACTTAACAATCTCCGCATGTCCAGCTTGGGCGGCGAAGGTGAGAGCAGTTCCTCCGTCGGGCCTCCTCTGGTGCAAGTGAGCTCTGTGCTCTAAAAGTTTTTCAACAGTGCTTCTATGACCGTTTCCGGCAGCCATCATTACAGCCGTCATCCCACACGTGTCTGTCTCATGAATGTTTGATCCATTTTGAATTAGAATTTCGACACTATCTGTATGTCCGCATGATGCTGCTAACAAAAGTGCATTCTTTCCATTCCCCCTCTTCTCATTTAAATCTGCTTTGCTTTCTATAAACAACTTCACTACATCTGTGTGTCCATGGACTACAGCAAACATTAGCCCACTCATTCCATTGTTATCTTTCACGTCCAACAATGCTCCTTTGCGAATTAGGAATGCCACAATGTCTTTGAATCCATTTTCAGCGGCTACCATCAAAGGCGTCTTTGAATTCAAAAATTTTTCATCGAAATTTGCTCCATAATCTACAAGCATTTGAACAATATCGACATGTCCATTTAAAGTCGCGAAAATAAGTGCGCTCTTTTTATCACAGTCTTGCTCATTTATCTTAACTCTTTCCCCCAAAAGTATTTGAATGATGTCCGTACAGCCATTCTGGGCTGCGCACATTAGAGTTGTCACTCGTTTGCAATCTTGTTTATGGACATCAGCCCCAAATTTGATGAGACACTGAACAGTTTTTGCATATCCATTTTTAGCAGCTAAAAACAGCGAAGTCCTTCCGTTAGCCTTTCTAGCATTCACTTCGGCTCCCATTTTTAACAGCGTTTCAACAATTTCTGTGTGGCCGGAGGATGCTGCGAACATCAGAGCTGTCTTTTCATTCTTCTCCGTTTCATTAACATTTACTTTGTGCTCTAAAATAGTTTGTACCAGTTCTGTGCTGCCATACTCTGAAGCTATCATTTGACACGTTTTACCATCATCCCGCTTCTCTTCCACGTTAGCACCATTCTGAATAAGAAATTTAGCAACTTCTTCATGTCCTTGCATTACTGCCAACATCAGAGCACTCTGTCCATCACACTTCTTGTCATTTATGTTTGCTCCCTTATCTACTAACAGCTTTACGATGTCTAAATGCCCACCCCATGCAGCACACATAACAGCTGTTGTGCCATCGTCAGCTTTATCACAAACCTTTATTCCTCTTGTCAGAAGAATTTCAACAATACACTTCTGTCCATTACCCGAAGCCAACATCAAAAGATTCGTTTTATCCCTGTTTTTTAAAAATATATTAGCTCCTTTATCAACAAGAAATTCAGCGACATCCTCGTGGCTGTACGTGACGGCCAGCATTAGAGCTGTACTCTTATTTGTATCTGTCTGGTCCAGCTTTGATCCTTTTTCTAACAACAATCTTACACAATCTAAATGTCCCTCGCACCCTGCTAACATAAAGGCAGTATTCCCGCTGTCATCCTGATGGTTTACATTTTCTCCTGTGGCCAGCAAATCAACACATTCCTTACATCCATTCTGAGCAGCTAACATTAGAGAAGTTTTCCCGTCCGTAGTTTTGTAGTCTAGCCTCGCTCCCGTGTCCATGAAAAGTTTTGTGATATCAGGGCGATTCTTCTCGATGGCTAGCATTACAGCGGTGTATCCGTTGTTGTCCTGGGTGTTTATATCTGATCCTTTTGCAATAAGAATTTCAACCATGCGAGTTAACCCTTTACGAGCTGCTAACATAAGAACCGTGTCGCCTTTGGCATCAGTTCCATTAACGTCAGCTCCTTCGTCAATCAGAAGTTTCATTAAATCGTAATGTCTGTTTTCTACTGCAAACATCAGAACAGTCTTTCCATTACTGTCTGTCTCGTGTAGGTCTGCCCCTCTGTCTATAAGCAATTTAACAACCGTGACATGTCCATGACACGCTGACATCATCAAGGCGGTTTGACCTCCATCATCTTTGGCATGTACGTTTTCTCCTTTGTCCAGAAGCTGCTGGACTTTCAGAGCGTCACCTCTTGTTGAAGCAAACATCAGCGCTGTCTTTCCGCCGACATGACTCTTATATTTATATGTGTTTGTAGTGCCAATCATTTTTTCAAACTCAGATCTAAAGATACAAATAAAGGAAAATTTAATAAAAGGCATTATTTTTATACATACTTAGTTATCAGTACATAATTATTTGGTGAGGTTGGAAATCATTTTTTAAAAATTAAAAGCTATTTTATTAGATTGCTTTGCCCATGTGTTTGATGGAATCTCGCATCTCAAGTTTGACCCACTTACTGATGTGCAAATGAGCTGAATATTTGTACTCTTACCTGCTCGAAGGACAATAAAACTTGTCATGATCAGTAGATCACAACAGTATTATAACATCATTCAAATAACAACATGAAATTAACAACAGTAAAATAACAATAGTAAAACAACAACAGGAACATAACAACAGTCAAATAACAACTGTCAAATAACAACAGTAATATAACGACAGTAATATATCAACAGCCAAATAACAACAGAGATATGACAACAATATGAAAACAGTAATATATCAACAGCCTAATAACAACAGTAATATGACAACAATAATATTACAACAGTAATATGACAACAGTAATATAACAACAGTAATATAACAACGGTAATATAACAACAGTAACATAACAACGGTAATATAACAACAGTAACATAACAACGGTAATATAACAACAGTAATATGACATCAGTAATATTACAACAGTAATATGACAACAGTAAAACAACAACAGTTGCGCAATTAATTTTAAATCAAATGTGAAAAAAAAAACTAATACACTTTGAACTTCAAATCAGCACATTTTAGGAAATGATAGTGTGCCAAATAGTTGTGAACTCCAAGAATTACTTTAAAAAGTAACAACAAAATGACCGAGAAAGTTGATGAAATGGTGTTCATAAAACATCTGAAGAATAATACAAATGTTCTGACCTGACCCAAGCCAAAACACTAAAGACTTGTTGAATTGCACAACCACGGAATTAGTCCATTTTCTCAAATATGATTTCCATCAGCTCTCTCTGTGCTGTAATCATGGAGTCAGATAATTCGGGGAAATTCCAGTAAATATTTGAACTTTCTATCTAGTCATCTCCCAAGTGGGTGGGTGATAGTTTTAAATTTAGTTTGTCAAATCCAAGGAGATCAGGTCTTGAGAACTACGTATTTTATTGGTTCTCAGAGTTTGGAAAAAGTGGGGGGGGGGGGCAGGAGACATCCATAAATGAGGTCATGAATATTTTGCCCATTGTCCCCTCCCCCCCCCACCCTTTCAAACCAAATCGTCACAAAAAATTAGATCCCTATCAAATTTAATGTCACAAAAACTTAGATCCCCATCAAATTTAACGTCACAAAAACTTAGATCCCTATCAAATTTAACGTCACAAAAACTTAGATCCCCATCAAATTTAACGTCACAAAAACTTAGATCCCCATCAAATTTAACGTCACAAAAACTTAGATCCCCATCAAATTTAACGTCACAAAAACTTAGATCCCTATCAAATTTAACGTCACAAAAACTTAGATCCCTATCAAATTTAACGTCACAAAAACTTAGATCCCCATCAAATTTAACGTCACAAAAACTTAGATCCCCATCAAATTTAACGTCACAAAAACTTAGATCCCCATCAAATTTAACGTCACAAACATCTGCGACCCCACACCCAACGAAAAAAAAAAATCCCCTGTCAACTTCAGTCCTTTACAAACCACTTTAAAAAAATCACCACCCGTGGTTCTCCAATAACTTCACCTGTGTCAGAAACATCTTCCTAGAACAGTGGTTCTAAACCAGGGGTGAAAACACACCAAGAAGTCAAAAGGAACCAGAAGGCAGTATTTGATTCCATATCTAGTTGGTGCTGCCTCTAGAAATAAAAAGCTTTTTCTATGCGTTTGGAATAGCAGCAGGATATGTTGATGTTTTTCTTGTCACTTTCGTTGGCGCATTACTTGCATTTTTTTTTAAAGAGAGAAAGTCGATTAAAGAAATAAAACAACAATGGCTACATTATTTAATGATTGAGACCGGTGAAATGGCGGCCAGACATAGACCGGTGAAATGGCGGCCAGACATAGACCGGTGAAATGGCGGCCAGACATAGACCGGTGAAATGGCGGCCAGACATAGACCGGTGAAATGGCGGCCAGACATAGACCGGTGAAATGGCGGTCAGTTATAGAGTGGTGAAATGGCAGTCAGTTATAGACTGGTGAAATAGCAGTCAGTTATAGACTGGTGAAATAGCAGTCAGTTATAGACTGGTGAAATAGCAGTCAGTTATAGACTGGTGAAATAGCAGTCAGTTATAGACTGGTGAAATGACAGTCAGTTATAGACTGGTGAAATAGCAGTCAGTTATAGACTTGTGAAATAGCAGTTATAGACTGGTGAAATAGCAGTCAGTTATAGACTGGTGAAATAGCAGTCAGTTATAGACTGGTGAAATGACAGTCGGTTTTAGACTGGTGAAATGACAGTCAGCTATAGGCTGGTGAAATGGCAGTCAGTTATAGGCTGGTGAAATGGCAGTAAGTTATAGAGTGGTGAAATGGCAGTCAGTTATAGACTGGTGAAGTGGCGGTCAGTAATGGACTGTTGAAATGGCAGTCAGTTATAGACTGGTGAAATGGCAGGCTGATATAGACTGGTGAACTGGCGGTCAGTTACAGACTGGTGAAATGGCGCTCAGTTATAGACTGGTGAAATGGCAGTCAGTTATAGGCTGGTGAAATGGCAGTAAGTTATAGAGTGGTGAAATGGCAGTCAGTTATAGACTGGTGAAGTGGCGGTCAGTAATGGACTGTTGAAATGGCAGTCAGTTATAGACTGGTGAAATGGCAGGCAGATATAGACTGGTGAACTGGCGGTCAATTACAGACTGTGAAATGGCGGTCAGTTATAGACATGTGAAATATCAGTCAGTTATAGACTGGTGAAATGACAGTCAGTTATAGACTGGTGAACTGGCGGTCATTTATAGACTGGTGAAATAGCAGTCATTTATAGACTGGTGAAATGGCAGTCAGATAGAGACTGGAGAAATGGCAGTGAGTTATTGACTGGTGAAATGGCAGTCAGATATAGACTGGTGAAATGGCAGTGAGTTATTGATTGGTGAAATGATGGCCATATATAGACTGATAAAATGACAGCCAGATTTAGACTGGTGAAATGGCAGTCAGTTATAGACTGGTGAAATGGAAGTCAGTTATAGACTGGTGAAATGGCAGTCAGTTATAGACTGGTATGACTACGAACCGATGTTGCTTTCTACACGTCGTCTCTATCAATTCAAAACAAGTGGGTCACATTAAACCTGGGCTGATATAAGACACACAAGGAAGCAATGACGTCAGCATCACGTGCTTGTCACGGGATATTCAGTCTGCATGCATGAGTTATCAGACAAGATAAGATGTTTCTAATAATACTACATCTTAATCCATTATGGAGAAAATGTTAAAGATTTAAATAAAACCTTAGTTTAGTTATGAAAATTGTATGTTAATTTTGAAATTTTTAGGTGTGACGTGACACTTGGGGGGTGTGTAAAGACACTTGAGACACCTTGTGACGGGGGAGAGGGGGGGAGGGGGCAGGGGTCTGAAAATGTCATTTTTGGCGTGACGTAATTTGCGAACGACCCATTCTTGCATAAGAGTGTCCACATAGATGCGGTCAAGCAAGTGTCGATTTAAATCAAATATGTTTTTTCGCTCATTATGTAAATGGTGATATCACTGTATGAAGTGACCAAATGAATTGTGGGTAAATCAGCTCTGATACGAATTAATGAATGGGAAAATGCAAATATGATCCACAAAATAACGGGATTTCCCAAGTTCAATTTATGCCAGTCATCATCGTCCTGAATTCTACAAAGAAAATTATCTGGGTGTGTCCACTCTTGTCTGCGTGTGTTCTCTATTTGTCGTTAGTGACACTTGGTTTCTTGAGGACCCGACCAAGTAAAATGTGAACTTTGCCCTTGTTGCTGTATTAACAATTTAAATGTAAGATATTTTCTAAAGAAGTGGCTGTCTTTCTGGTTTATGTGGAGTTATAGTGTTTCTAGTTTAAAAAAACCCAGATAATTATGCAATCACCCAAAATAGTCCTAAGCAAGCTCATTTCATATTCATGATATTCCACTTGTGTCCCTTCATATTCGTTTGAAAGAAAAACGCAAATCTTTGAATTGTTCAAAGGAACATGCGACTGGCCTTCCACATTTTTGTTCATTCGCTGGCAGCATATCTATAAAAGATGTCCAAGATCATGTTTATACACTTCCTTTTTACTCTCTTTCACTTATTGCCGCGTTTATTGTCACCGGGGAAGTGTAAGTACGAAGTTTCTAGTCAATTGAAGAACAGGAAGTGGGATAATATGAGATGAACGTTTTGGCCTGCAGAGGTCCGTTAAAGATCAATGGGGAGGGGGTGTCACCAGTGACCTGTTGAGCCTAAAGGTTAGTATTATCATCGGAGATGGGTAATTGCGCAAAGTTTCAGCTCATTTGCACACCAGGAAGTGATTCGATATCGAGACGCAAAATTTGACCCTCAGATTTCATTCAAGTTTCAATAAAGGTCAGTGTTGACGTACTGATCATCAAGACATTTCTTGTTACCAGGATTGAGTAGCCATGCAAAGTTTAAAATCCATCGGACGAAGGAAACGGGTCGTAAATTAAGTTACAAAATTTGAACCTGACCAGCACACGGACAACACAGCAAGCTAATTAATAAGAACGTATCAATTAAACAACCATAAAAAAAAACGCTACTCGAATAAGTCCTTTATATGCATCTTTGTTTCCATTTATGTCGTAATACTTGACTTATCATTCATTTGATTATAGCAACTGATTTTTTGATAAGGGAATGGTTTTTATCAAAGCTAGAG